ATTTTTATACAAAGGAAATTTTTTTGTGCCTGTTGAAAATTAAAGTTTACTGACATAGCCATAAAAAATGTTGCTTTATTTATCTGACCATATTGGAATGTATTTGTTAGGTTTTCAGTAAATTAAATTTGGTTCAGTAAACAATATGTGGTCATTTTTAAAATTTTCAATGAACATTTGATCAGTCCGGCCCTCGGCTTGCAGCAAAATTTTTTATCTGACCCTCCGTCCATTTGACTTTGACACCCCTGCCCTAACATATTTGTGTGTCTGTGTGTGTGTTAGTAATGTGATATATTCTTGTGTTAGTGCACGCTGCACCCTCAGCATCATCTCAATTTCACTTTCACAAAAAAAGTATTTCACAAGTAAAACAATATAACAAAGCAGGCCACCTTTAACCTATGGCGGTGTGTGACTTGCATCACCGGAAGTTGTTAGTGGTCAGCAGTCTGCAATTGCAGACTGCATCTTTTATGGTTATTGTTATCCTTAGTCAGAGTTTGTTTCATGTACAATTCACTGAGGGTACTGGCAAAGAAATGGAACCTGGAGTGCCGAGAGAAGCATTTTAAAATGGCACACGTGATCTACAATTGTGAACAGGCTGCAAAAGTCCGTCCCATGTCGCCGCGTCAAGTGTCGATGAAGGGAGGCAGTGATTTCCTTTTCACAAACCCACAAACTCTTGTGTCTACTTTATATCCGTTTTGTTCATCCTAGGGGCCGTTATGGCTGTTACTCATCATGGCATGCGTGTGTTTATGTGCGCGTGTGCGGTAACGGGTCGATTGCGGGAGGTTGTTTGGCTTGAAAAGGAGATCTTCGGTCAAAAAAGTTTGGGCACCCCTGCTCTAGATTAGCCCTAGATAATAGTTGTTTGTCTATGTGTGCCCTGCCATTGGCTGGCAACCAGTTGAGGGTGTACCGTGCCAACTGCCCAAGACAGCTGGGATAGGCTCCGTCACGCCCGCGACCCTCGTGAGGATAAGCGGTTGCAATAACGGATAGATTGGTTATTTACTCATTTATTTTTGTCTTGCAGAATGGATAATGACTCTTTACCTGCTCACCAGTCAGTCCTTCGCTGAGGGACCTCTTCCTCTTTTGGTGTTTGGACTTGGCAGCACAGGCATGAGATAATAAAGTCAAGCAGCTGCAACAAACGACACCTGCGGCACTCGTGACGCTGCCGCTGCTCTCCCTCCCGCCTCATTCCCTCCTGTCCTGCTGCTCAATAACCCTTCAGCAGTCCTCGACATGACCACGCCAGCGCTTTTACCGCTCTCTGGGCGCCGTATACCCACACTGTCGCCGGGCACCTCCTCCTTTCCACACCACCGCGCTACCTTGAGGCTCTCTGAGAAGTTCATCCTGCTGCTCATCCTCAGTGCCTTCATCACCCTGTGCTTCGGCGCTTTTTTCTTCTTGCCTGACAACTCCAAGCACAAGCGCTTTGACCTGGGCTTGGAGGCCGTACTCATCCCACACATTGACTCGCCCAAGGAGGGGAAACATGGACAGGTGATCATACACGGTCAGGGAGGACTTGATGAACACAGACACAGGTAATTTTTTTGTCATTTTTAGATCTTGTATTGTTGCTCTAATTCAGGATTTTGTGAGTCGGTGGGGAGAATACTTCGTAGACCTTTTCATTCGCACTGATACGCCTTCCTATAAGGAAGCCAAGTCCGGAGGGACTCTGAGATGGGCTCTCCTCTTTCTGAGGTTGAAGTTAACCGAGGTGGTTAAAAACCGTCTTGGCAGGGCCCAGAGTTTCTGAAGGCTCTGCATGTTGTGGGGTGCGTCGAGGATCCCATTCAAATACTAAATGAAATTAGCAAATAGCATCTGGCATTTTCATGTACTGTATTTTCCACACTAAAAGGAGCACTGGATTATGAGGCGCCCTGCGATTGGCTTGCAACCGATTCAGAGTGTCCCCTCCCTACTGCCCGAAGACCGCTGGGATAGGCTCCAGCACCCCCTGCGACCCGAGTGAGGATAAAGCGGTTCGTAAAATGAATGAATGAATGAATAGATTTTGAGGCGCACCTTCAATGAATGACCTATTTTGTAATTTTTTTTCATATATTGCATGCACCGCATTATAAAATGCAATCTACAATGCATCCACTCGATGGAGCTATGCTCAAGGAAATGCCAACAGAACACTACACTACACCACACCCTGATTTATATAGCGACAATCAGATGTCAGTAAAACTTAATAAAGCAGCGACACAGTTCACTTAACCAACAGCAAGATATTACATTGACTCCTTAACGTTGAACTCTCTTGCTGCTGCTCTATTTCCGTGTTCAACTGCGAAACCGATCGCCTTAAGTTTGAACTCTGCGTCGTAAGCATGTCTCTAGCAAGGAGCCATTTTGGGGTTGACATATTACTGTGATGACCATACACAAGGCGCATCGGATTTTAATGCGCACTGTGAGCTTTTAAGAAAATGGAAGGCTTTTAGGTGCACCTTTTAGTGCGGAAAATACAATAATGATTTTCGAAGCTATTGATCGATTTGTGATCTTCACAAAATAATTTGATACTCAAAATTCCCAATACCCTTTTATTTTGATGAACGTTTGAATGTTCTTTTTAATCAACTTATATTCGTTTTTCGCTAGTACACCTTACATCCGGTCAACCCCGGGGTGTATAAATAACAAAATACAGTAAACATATACATATACGTGAACACACAACTTAGACTATAATAGACCAAAATTGCTCATAACGGTTAAGATGAGACAACACAATGTGTTCACTTGTCTGAAACACTTTGGATTTTGCAAAAAAAAAGGAAGATCGTCTTGACAAGACAGTAGCTGTGTAAAGCCTTTGTAAATGCCCAGTGAAATATAATTTGTCAACACATCTCGACAGTGCCAGTGTACAGGTGCTCATCAAAAAAATAGAACATAATGAAAAAGTTAATTTCAGTAATACTACTCAAAAAGTGAAACTTGTGTAATGCATACATTCATTCCACACAGACTGGTACATTTCAAGTGGTCATTAATTTTAATTTTGAAGATTATATCTGAAAACTAATAAAAACCGAAATTCACTATCTCAGAAAATTTGAATACAGTGATCCCTCACTTATCGCGGTTAATGGGGACCGAGACCACCCGTGAAAGAGGAACATCCGCGAAGTAGCCCCCGCCCCCCCCGTACAGGTATATGTACATGTATATGAGCAAGTACCATACGCACTCGCATTCGGCAGTTGACTTAAGGTGTGACCACTCGCACAGTAGAACATCTCAATTATCCATAGAAATACTCATTCAATGCACCAAACAATAATTACGAGTATGCGAGCACTTTATAGAGGTTATGTAGAAACAATTTATAATGCATTTGACACAATAAAATCAGAGCAGCCGCATGTCAACTCAAATTGCAGGTGGAGACGATTCATATTTTTTGGGGGGCAACTACATTGGCATAACAGTTTTTGCTGCCAGACAACATGTACGCACAGCTGATATTTTTTAAATAGAATAACGTATTTTCCGCACTAAAAGGCAGACCGAAAAGACTTCCATTTTCTTAAAAGCTCACAGCGCGCCTTAAAATCCGATGCGCCTTGTGTATGGTTATTACGGTTCTTCTGCCCTAGCCATGCGTTTGAGATGAGAGCACGGCGTAGACAGCGAGCTAAACAATCCTCCAATAAAAACACGGAGATGAGAATCCAACGTTTGGTATTTTTATGGAGTCTTTCTTGTAAAACTGCACACAAATAGAAACACAATACAAATGTTTGTATAACGTCCAATTATACATATGAAATGATATTCAACACTCTTGTAACAGCCCTATTCTCTAACATTTCCAACGAATCTATGGTAAATATCTACAAAGATTAATTGGTGAAATACTTATATATGACGATGAATAACTTGCTCAGCCAAGAGTGGTATATACAACTGGGTAAATGTACTTACAGATTGTGCCTGAATGTGCCAAAAGAACGAGGATGGAAGTGGATGTTATCGCACCTCTGCACGTGGTTTCACTCTTATGCATCAAAATGGCTACCCCGCTGACTCTATGGGTGGTGCTAACCACTTCCACCACTAGGGGCACTGTACTAAACTGTCATGCAATACTTCCATCACTAGGGGCACTCCACTGCACTGTAATACAATTACTGGGGGCAGAATAACGGTAATATGTCAACCCCAAAATGGCTCCTTCTAGAGACATGCTTAAGACGCAGCGTTCAAAGTTCAGGCAATCGGTTTCGCAGTTGAACACGGAAATAGAGCAGCGGCAAGAGAGTTCAACGTTAACGAGTCAATGTTATAACTTGCTGTTGGCTAAGTGAACTGTGTCGCTTCTTTATTACATAAGTTTTACTGACATCTGATTGTCGCTATATAAATCAGGGTGTAGTGTAGTGTTCTGTTGGCATTTCCTTGAGCGTATCGCCATTTAGTGGATGCATTGTAGATTGCGGTGCGTGCAGTATATGAAAAACATAACAAAATAGGTCAGTCATTGAAAGAGCGCCTCATAATCCAGTGCACCTTTTAGTGTGGAAAATACGGTATGTAAGGTTTTGGTAACATTTTACCAGCCGTTGTTTTTTTTTTTTTAAATCGAACAATCAGAGCTGCAGGTTAATTTATTGTGAAAATATACAACTTTAATGTATTTTTGTTGTACAAAAGTGAATATTGAATATTGTTCACATAGATGAAACAGTTCAGTTTGGTGTTTTTTTTTTTTTTTAAGCTTAGTTTTAACTGAACCACATAGTAATATAGTTCTTGAGATATCTGGCAAAAATATGACATTTTAGCCATCTCGGTCTGTCTGTCGGGGCTGGTTAGGATGTCTCTTGGAGGCCTCTTTGGAGAGATGTCTTGGCTTTGTTGCCTAAGTTGGTGTTTCTGTTATCACCGAATAAGCAAAAGAAGATGGCTTGATGGATGTTGTTGTTGTGTGTGCTTTTACAAGGCCTGTGCACACGCCGTGCCGTCTAAACCATCAGGTCAGGCACCATTTATTCAGTTCCATGACACCACGTACCTTTGTGCAGCATTCTTTGTTTCCCCACTGGGTGTGACCAGAATTTTGAAAAATGCCTAACTTGGTACATGGTAGGAGATCTCAAGATGCATTTTGGGGTGGCATGGCAAGTGTAACCGGTAGTGTCTGACTGTGTTGTGTTAAAGAATATTGACGACGTACAGCAGGATTTCTTGTAACCCAAATGTCTTGCATACTGTTCTTAGACTGCCTCTATCGGTTTAGTTTATGCTATTGTGTCGTCTGTACTGAGGAAGATAAGATAACTTTTATTTGTCTCACAATGGAGTTTGCCAAGTCTCTTTTTATGAAGAAGGGAATGCGTGGATCAAGGATCAGAGATTTTCAAACCTCAGTGTGTGCTTAAGACAGGGGTGTCAAACTCATTTTTGTCACGGGCCACATTGTAGTTACGGTTTCCCTTGGAGGGCTGTTATGACGATGAATTTTGTGAAACCATATAAATCAGGGGTGGCCAACCAGTCAGAGACTACGAGCCATTTTTTTTACTGTGTGACTGCAAAGAGCCACATACACATGGGCATCTCGTCCTCGCGCGCACGCACACACGTACACACTTTTTTGCCCAAAGATCGAGTTTTGAAGCGACCAACCTCCCACGATCCGATCGCGCACGTGCAAGAACACACACACACACGCACGCACGCCATGAGGAGCAACTGCCGGAACAGCCCGAACATGAACGAAAGCTAAAGACACAAATACACAAATCTACCCCCCCTCCATTTCCTCCTCCCACCCCTTGCGGTCGTCTTGGAACCAGTCCGCTGGCTCCCGGTCGATTGCGATCGATGTATTGGGCACCCCTGCCTTAAAAACTGAGGTAATTCACTGACTATCTTAACGCTTAGCGCCGTTGTTTGCGCATGAGTGGTAATTCAGTCATCTGATTGGTTGCCCTCTGTGTCAGTCAAGTAACGGGATTGATGATAGGCTGACGTGGTACGTTCTGTGTATTTAGGGCCGTAGTTTGAATGACATGCCACCGCCGAGGCATTTTCGACGCTTGTGTGAATGCCCGGGAGCCGCATTGAACCAGCCAAAGAGCCGCATGCGGCTCGTGAGCCGCGGGTTGGCCACCCCTGATATAAATGTTTAATCACCTCCACATATAACATACACACTGCACAACAAATTGATGGATAATTACCGTAAATTCCGGATTACAAGCCGCTACTTTTTTTCCACACTTTCAACACTGCGGCGTGTAATATGAAGCGGCTTTTTAGTTTTTTTTTTCCATCGCGGGAAAAACATGGACCAATAAAATGAGTCTTTCACTGAGGTCCAATGAGATTGTATGACTGATCACAACTTCCGCTCTTTTAGCCGTAGCGGGGGGAAAACTGTGTTACCCGGCAACAGTCGACCAATAAAATGAATGAGTAGTACACAGGGGTCCAATGAAATTGTATGATTATCGGTAATCACAACTTCCTTATTTCAGTCTTTCTTCTAACCCTGATCAACATGGAGAATACCAGACGAAAAGCATATGATGTAGCTTTTAAACTAAAAGCGATCACTCTGGCAGTTAAAGAAGGAAATCGAGCTGCTGCCCGTAAGGCGTAGAAAAAAAAGTAGTGTTTCCGGTAACCCGACCGACCGAGAATTTCTACGTCGAAAAAAAACTAGAGGGTTGTTTTTTTCAAACAAAAAAAAATAACTGTCCGACCTACCGACCCTATGCTAAAATTTCTTGTTACCGGAAACACACTATCTTTTTTGTTTGGCTTAATCTTGGCATAGAGTCGATGGTGCGAAGGTGGAGGCTCCGGCAAGAAGAAGTGAGCCAGTGTAAAAAGACAACCAAAGCTTTTAAAGGTTTTAATGGTGGGCCGTCGTGGTGTTATAGATTCATGAAATGGAAGCCTGTCTATTAAGGCACGCACGACGTTGTGTCAGCAGCTCCCTCCCAATTACGAGGACAAACTTGCTTCATTCCGCACATTCACACAAAGATAGCGGAGAATTCCATCAGCCCAGATGAAATAATAAATATGGACGAAGACAATCTGACATTTGATTTGCCCCTCACTCGGACTGTAAATACTGAAAACAAGCGTCCACGAGAGAACACATTTTACCTGTGTTTTGAGCCGCGCAGCATCAGGCCTAAAGCTGCCAACGATGATCATTTTTAAGCGGGTGACTATAGAAATAATTTCATATATCTTTTCCCATTTATATGATTTGCATTATTCTATTTAAAGCCTAGTGAGCTGCAGTATTTCTCCTCGTAATTACGCAAATGCGCATCAAGATCTCTCTTTGTCTGGCCTCTTATGTGTTTCAGCGTAATTTCGTTGTGCAAATGCATTTATCATGCTCATAAAAATATGGAGATTATTTTAACCTTAAGAAATGTTGCGTTTTTTTTCTGCGGGGGTTCAGCGGGAGATCGCGGACGCAGAAGCAAACCCCCGCCTACTCATTGGCCAGCAGTTTATAGTACGGTGCGGCGCATATATTTACAAAATTGAATTTTCTTCATAAATCTGAGCATGCGGCTCTTAATCAGGTGCGGTCTGTAGCTCGGAATTTACGGTAATTTTAAAATCAGAAGTCAAGAATAATGACTTGCTTCAACATTGTTTACATTCATGTAATAAGGGGTTTGGTTATGACAAAATGCTTGCAATATATGTTATTATGGATTACATATGACAATTTGATATTTTGGTTCAAACTTTAGCAAGAATCATGGAACTTGACATGCTTGATTTGCTTTTGCAGGCCACATAAAATGATGTGGTGGACTTGACTTTGACACCTGTGGCTTAAGATAACAATTGTAAACACATTTGCTCCCTTTTTGGAAATGGGCATTTCCTGAAATTACATTTTGAACCAAAACATGAAAACTAAAAACAGTTCATAAATTCAGATTCTAATAAATGTTTGTAAGGAGATTAATGCAACTGCTAACTAACCAGCATACCCTTATGTAATTATTTATTTATTTATTTTATTGGGACAGTGCCAATTAATCAACACAAGAATAAACAGTGTAAATGCGCTGGACTTAGCATAAATGCTTGTTTTCAGTCGTACTCCCAAGGCAGGTTTCTAAAATAGCACAGTGATATGGATATAAATAGATAGATTTAGAACCCAGATGCCTCATGACCAATTGTTGAGTATGTCACACCGCTGCACAGGCTAAGGTACGTCAAGACAACTCGAAATCATCTGCGATACACTATGTTTGTCGGCTGCATTCGCGTAGTTTGACATCAGCATAACATCACTCGGCTGGAGAGTTTCATGGATGCAGATGCTCTGGAATGGTTACATGTTAGGACGTCTGTGTTTTTGTAGTTACATCTATACTTAAATTACTGTAATAAAATGAATGTCTTGGTCTGAATGTTTGCCACGGTTTCTTTGTGAAAAGGCTGACGGCAACATTTCAGTGTTTACAAGTGGTGACTATGATTATACTACATTAAGCGGCAGCTAAAGCTTGAACGGACAGCATACGCTGACATTAGCTTGTGTATTTATGTATTTGACGTTATTTCTAGCTACCTATCCTCAAATTTTAATGCTAATCATGTGAAAACGGCCTGGTTTCTTCACTGTTTACATATGATACTTGTTTGAATAATTCTGTATGGACATATCTGTATATGTGTGATAGAATTCTCAAGGTACCATGTCCAAAAGTGCTTTCATTTGTACAGCTTCTCATGTCTAAAGCAGCTGACTGCTAATTTCCCAAAAAGCCTATCTTTGCTCTTGACTCATTTAATTATCTTTCATCACAACGATACCTTTTTGCACAATTACACTGTTTATTTAGTGTCAGGCTCACTCGCTGCTCTCTTTGTGCAGGCTAATTATCTGCCAGAATAAAGAGGATATTTTCGTAACTTGTTTTCCACTGCTTCTTGTAGGGAGGACGAGGCGAGCCTCCGGGATAAAATTCGCGCCGACCACGAGCGGGCCCTGCAAGAGGCCAAAGAAAAGCTGCGGAAATCGCGTGAGGAGATACAGGCCGAGATCCAGACGGAGAAGAGCAAGGTGGTGGAGGACCTGAAGAAAAAGGACATAGGGCCGAAGCCCTTGCATCCCGTGCCCATGCCGAAGGTGGTGGCCATTGGTGATGGAGAGCCACTTGAGCTCGATGTCAAAGAAAAACGGAATAAGATTCGAGAGGTAAGAATTTTTTTTTGTATTCTTTAATGTCCTCTTTCTTTTCAATTGGAAAGAGGAGGTACTAGTTCTCGTACTTGCTCAGCCAGGCTTCCAAGTTTGCTGAGGCAATACTACAATATGTGGGTGACTGCTGGTTGCTCATTGGTCGATCATATTTGTTATTACTGTGGAGGGTTGAAACGCGTCCTCGAGTAACTTGAGTATCTCGGTTCAATAAAGTAGTTGAGCATTTTTTTCTCCTTCGAGTACCCGCTTATTTATGTGTACCCAGCCATCTCCTTACCTCTGCGTCCCGTGTCATAGACACATAATTTTCCCGCGGGACGCACAGTTCCAAATAATGTGTTTTTGGGATGCAAGGAAATTTCTCAGTCAAAACAACAACAAAAAAAAAACTACGGCAGACCTGAGGATTTCACAGTCACGATCGTTTCTCGTGTCGTTTCCGTGGCGTCATTTTGACGGGACTAGAAAAATCGTTTAACCATAAAAGTCACCGCACACGAGTTAACTGTACGCGATCAAGTCTCTCCTGTGTAATCAACGCGATTTCACTGTGTCTGTATGGGTGTTTGTGGTGTGTGAGTGTGTTTCTTCTAATTTACTTTCGTTTTGTTTTATTTTCAGTGTTGGGGGGACGGAACAGATAACGTTATGTGCACATGCGTGTTGCTATTTTAGTCCAAAAACTGAGGAATCGCGCGGATGAAAGTTTGAGATGGCGGCGAAAAAAACTCGCAAAGGTCTACGAATTACGACATTTAAGAAATGGGAATGCCAGTCTGATTTTTCGTATGAATCGTCCGAAGGGCGTATCACTAAACTCACCTGTAACATATGCACAGAACACGAGAGCGAGATACGACGGGAGGCACGATTACGTGGTCATTAGATATATAGGTTAATCGCTATGAAAAATATTATGAAACAGTATTTGTTATTGTATAATTTACTGGTTGTAGCATGGTAACTTTAGGAATAGAACATTTGTCACAAGGTGTAGTAATGCTAATGTTAACTGTTGGTAGAACTAATGATGATGTGTGTTAGTCTTTCCTCAAATTGATAGTAGATTACACATGCATGTGAAGAGGATGTCAAGCCACGTCAATACTTACCAGTAAATTAATCTTTGTAGTGTGAGATTGGAAAAAAATACTCTGATTTTGTGGTATGCTGTATTCTTCATGATGCCAAATGACTACACCATATTTTGATCCATTTATTTTTTTGAATAAACCTGGAGTACACAGCTGCTGATGTAATGTTCATTGTTCATGGATAGTTTTCTAACTTTTACCCTTGAAACATTATACTTTTGAGTTTCAGAATTTTTGATTATGAATATCAGTCAAAATAGAAAAATGGGTTCCCATGATGAATGTTTCCGGAACCCAAAATTAGTTACCGTGGTTTCCCATTGGGTAATCCGACGGAACTGAAAAATGGTTTATGTGAATTTCCGAAATCCTCAGGCCTGCTACTGAATTTTTAAATTTTTTTTCAGCATTTGTTTATAATTGCATGTACCTGTATATGTTGTTGTTTGTGTTATTATCATATGCAGTTGAATCAGTAGACTATTTCATAATTCGAAATTTGGGACTCACTAAATGCATAATGGCACTCATATTTTTCTGATCAGCGAGTCCCTGGGACTTGCTGGGGGTAAACTGTAAAATTATCACTGTCACACAGCATAATAGTTTGGAACAGTGCTTGTTAAGGTGCACTGTTCCAAACTATTATGCACAGCAGTGTTGCAAGACATTTTATAGGTCGTGAAGAACTGAAAATAGTCTTTTGGGCAGCATTGGGAGGTTGTATTTGCGGAAATCAAAAGCGATTTCAATCAAAAACATTTGAACAGCTCAAATTACATTTTAATATAGGATCTTTTACTTGATTGCATTTTCCCAAGTCTTGCATCAATTGAACGTGGTAGTTTTTGGACAGCTTAAGCAAATTAATTGATAATTATTTTGATAATCGATTCACGTTTTGAAACCCAAGTTTTACTTTCAATTTTCCAGATCATTGGAATTTCACCCTTTCAACAGAAATTATTTTCAGATTGCATACAATAACCAATACTGTTTGATCATATTTTTCATAGCGATTAGCCTATAGATCTAATGCCCAACTTGGCTCGTAATCGTGCCTTACGTCGTATCTCGCTCTCGCGTTCTGTGCATACATCACAGGTGAGTTTTGTGATATGCCCTTGCGACGATTCATACGAAAAATCAGACTGGCATTCCCATTTCTTAAATGTCGTAATTAGTCGGCCTTTGTGAGTTTTTTCGCCGCCATCTCAAACTTTCATCCGCGCAATTCCTCAGTTTGCGGACTAAAATAGCAACCCGCATGCGCACAAAACGTTATCTGTTACACCCCACCCCCCAACACTGAAAACAAAACGAAAGTACATTAGAAGAAACACACTCACACACCACACCACAAACACACATACAGGCACAGTGAAATCGCGTTGATCACACAGGAGAGATTCCATCGCGTACAGTAAACTCGTGTGCGGTGACTTGTATGGTTAAACGATTTTTCGGTACCGTCAAAATGACGCCACGGAAACGACACGCTCCTGGTAACAACAGTTACCGTGAAATCCTCAGGCCTGCCGTAGGTTTTTTTTGATTTGTTTTGACTGAGAAATTTCCTTGCGTCCCAGAAATGCACATTATTTGGAACTGTGCGTCCCGTGGGAAAATTATGCGTCTGGGACGCGGGACGCAGAGGTAACGAGATGACTGAGTCCCAGGGACTCGCTGATCACCAAAGTGTGAGTCCCATTATGCATTTATAGAGTCCCAAATTTTGAATTCTGAAATGGTCTACTTATTCAATTGCATATGATAATCACACAAACAACAACATATGCATACAATTATAAACAAATGCTGCAAAAATTTAAATACTGTAATTCAGTAGCAGCCCTGAGGATTTCGGAAATTCACGGGAACCGTTTTTCGGTTCCGTCGGATTACCCAATGGGAACCCACGGTAACAAATTTTGGGTTCCGTAAACGTTCATCATGGGAACCCATTTTTCTATTTTGACTGATATTCATAATCAAGAGTTCTGAAACTCAAAAGTATAATGTTTCAAGGGTAAATGTTTGAAAACTATGCATTAACAATCAACATTACATCAGCAGCTGTGTACTCCAGTTTATTCAAAAAAAATAAATGGATGAAAATATAGTATACTCATATGGCATTATGAATACAAGAAACCCTAATTTTTTTTTCCAGTCTCACACTGCAAAGATTAATTTACTGGTAATCATTAATACAGGTAAGTATTGATGTGGCTTGACATCCTCTTCCCAAGACGATGCATGTGTAATCTACTATCAATTTGACGAAAGAATCTAACACACGTCATTGTTAGTTCTACCAACAGTTAACATTAGCATGATTACACCTGATGACGAATGTTTTATTCCTAAAGTTACCATGCTACAACCAGTAAATTATAGAATAACCAATACTATTTCATAAAATTTTTCATAGCGATTAGCCTACAAATCTAATGACCAACTTGCCTCGGAATCGTGCCTCCCGTATCTCGCTCTCGTGGGCTGTGCATACGTCACAGGTGAGTTTAGTGATACGCCCTTCAGACGTATCGATTCATACGAAAAATCAGACTGGTATTCCCATTTCTTAAATTTCGTAATTAGTAGACCTTTGTGTTTTTTTTCGCCGCCATCTCAAACTGTCATCCGCGCGATTCCTCAGACTAAAATAGCAACCCGCAGCGCACATAAAGTTATCTGCCCCCCCCCACCCTTCCCCCACAACACTGAAAACAAAACAAAACGAAAGTAACTTAAGAAACACACTCGCACACCACACCACAAACACACATACAGGCACAGTGAAGTCGCGTTGCTCACACGAGGGATTCGATCGCGTACAGTCAACTCGTGTGCGGTGACTTTTATGGGAAACGATTTTTCGGTACCGTCAAAATGACGCCACAGAAACGACACGCTACCGGTAACGATCGTTACCATGAAATCCTCAGGCCTGTCGTAATTTTTTTTTTGTTTGTTTGTTTTGATGGAGAAATTTCCTTGCGTCCCAAAAACGCACATTATTTGGAACTGTGTGTCCCGCGGGAAAATTATGCATCTAGGACGCGGTACACAGAGGTAACGAGATGGCTGATATATATATATATATATATATTAGAGCTGTCAAATGATTAAAACATGTAATCAAATTAAAAATGCAACTGTCATAATTCACTCAAATTCACTAAAAATTAATCGTGATTACTCACGCAGTTTTTATCATTTCTGAATTTCCTTTGATATTTTTTGTCCCATTTTTCCCCATTTTAATGCTCTCATCAACATGGAATCATGAATCAGTTTTCTATGTGCAAAATGCAAATATTTACTGAAACAACAATTTCGATTTTCAATTTTACATGAACATTTTTCACTTGGAGCAGTTATTCACACATATTCTCTCACACAA